CCGGGAGGGGTCCGCGGGGCGGGGAGGTGGGGAGCGGGGAGCCCCCGGGTGGAGGGGGGAGCCAAGCCCTGGGGCTGGGATACCTGCTCCCGCGTCCCGCCCGGGGCCATCGGGATGGCTTGGACAGTACCCAAGAGCCCGTTATCAGCCCCCAAAGGGAGGGAACGTGGTAAGCACGGGTGAGGACTGGGGTGCGGGATTGGAGGGGCGGGGACAGACGGCGTTTGAAAAGAGAGCTTGTTCCAGAAACTATCCAGAACCCAGCTCGGTTTCTTTTTTCTCAGAGAAGATACCCCAGCAATTGCTTTCCTTGCCGACTTTGCTCTTCCTCTCCCGGCGCGGAGATCACGTACCGCGTGCTCCGAGGGCGGCCACACACCCCAACGCCCAACCTCGGTGCCACTCTCCCGCGGAGGAGAACGGCCCCGGCCCCCGCTTTCTGGGGCACCGGTCCTAAGAGGGCGCCTACAAGTAGCACGCCCTGACCCCCATCGTGACTCTTCCCGTAGAGTGGGGTGAAAGTCTGGGGAGAATCGCCTTGCCACCGGCAAGAACAGAGTTGCTCGTTGCCTTCGTCTGCATCCTCCTTTTCATAAAGTCTTGATTGCCCCCCGCGCACCCCAAAGCTGGCTGCAGCACCGGCCTTTGGAGCTCTACGAACCCCTGAAGACTCCGCGGGGCGAACTGCCCTGTGCTTGCTCTGGCCCATGCCTAGACAATGGGCTCCGCTTGGCCGGGATCGTTTTAAACTGCTCCCAGCAATTCACGAGACATCTGACACCGGCAGTCCAGCCCGCGCAGAGCTGAAACAGGTGAGTCGTAAGGCAAACTATGTTAAATGCAAAACAAATACTGGAAGAAAAAATAAGGGTGGAGCTGGGTGGGATGTGCGGTCATCTGACCTGAGAGAACCCAGCTGGTTACTAAGAAGGGTTTACTTTGCCCTTCACTTTTCGTAATTTTGTAGGATTGTCTCGTGCCCACTAGAGGTCACCAAAAAGAGTCATTTTGCTCTAGGTCTAGTATGGATTCCTGGGGGGACGCGGGGCGGGGCGGAGAAGACACCTGAAAATTGGGAGTGTTCTCTCAGAAAGTAAAAAAAAAAAATCACTACGTGGTTTCTTTGCTTTTCTTTTTTTAAATTAAATTATTGGGATGACATTGGTAAATAAAACCATACAGGTTTTAAGTGTACAACTCAATGACACATCATCTACGTACTGCATCCTGTGCTCACCACCCAGAGTCTCTTTCCGCCACCATTTATCCCCCTTTTGCCCTCTTCCACATCCCCCTGTGCCCCCTTCCATTCTGACGATCACCATACTGTTGTCTGTGTCTTTCCTTTTTACTTTTATTTATTTATTTATTTGTTTATTTATTTTTTAGTTTATTGGTGGGTGGTTTCTTAAAGAATGAAAATCTATAAGTTATGTACCCCTAGATGCGAATAATTTATCTTAAAAGTATTTAATATGATTGAAAGCTCAAAAGTAGGAGTTGTTTCTTTGCTAAGTAGCTACTAACCCAGGAAAACATCCTGAAGGAAGTGAGTTTCAGGATAGAATCAAAGGAGGTGATGATCATGAGCCGGCTGAAAGAACAGAGCATTCCAAGGAGAAAACTCTCAGATGTGAAGGATTAAAGTCTAGAGAAAGTGAATGAATGCATTTGCTTGGCTGTAAGGATGGGGACCTCAACTGCAGAATTTAGATTTCATCCTAGAAGGTTTTAATCGTATAAATGGCCTTTATTAAAGGAAGATTCCTTTGCCTGTTGGGTTAGTCTAAGGAGAAGTCCATTTCTGCAACCCAGGAATGAAAACCCCAGCCCCAAGTCTTCGTAGATGAGAAAGGAAACACGGAGGCCGAGGGCTCAGCAGAGCCTGGACACTGATTTGTTATAGCAGATGAGGATGGAGAACAGTTTGCAGATGTGAGTTGAGAGAAGAGCCTGGCTTCAACAAGAGCCAATTCCTCACAGAATTGTTAAAAATACTTTCTAGAAGCATCACAAGCCACAGAATACAGACCAATTATTTTGTTGATTATTTGCTCCAACATTACTGTATTTATTTCCTGTGTTTTCCATCTAAAATCGCTCTAAACTCTGTTGATTGGACCAGTTAAAGGAATATCACATTTTGAATTAAATATGAACTCAGAAAACAAATTAATATGATGGCAATACAATTTGTGCCTCCAACATTTCTTAGAGATGGATTTAAATCATTTCATTTGTTTCCAGAGTAATATTCCTATTTGATTCATCAACCACTGCTGTAGCAGCAATACCCAAGTCATTTTCTTAAACAAAGGAAACAGTAAGGTGCAGAAACAATTGGCTTGTCTGGCTTAGAAAACCTTCTTAAAAACAATTTTACTCTTTTGTACTTTGAAAACTATGTTAAGAATTATGACATCTAAATTCTTTCTTGGATTCCAGATGATATTTAGGGCCTTCATATATAAATCTTTAGAATGCATTAAAATTTAAAGGCATCAGGCAGAATTTTAGAATTTGAAAGAACCAAGAGATTTTGGCATCTCAATTTATCAACCCACTATTTAGGGAGGAGTAAGAAGGCTCCAGAGATGTGGTGGCTGTAACTTGCCTTAGGTACCCCAGCCAGCAGCATCATGGTAGAGATGGGCTGGAACCAGGTTTTCTAGTTCCAAACTCTAATCACTCCATCTTCAGGGCCTGCATTGCTGCCACAACCTTCTATCTGATCTCCCTGCACTCCATTTCTTTCCTCCTCCTGTGAATCCTGTAATGTGCCACCAGACAGCTCTTCCTTCTGTTCATTTTAATCAAGTCATTCCCAAGTTGGAGAACCAAAAAGGTCTGTAGATCTACAGATTTACAATATTATCTATACTAATAAAAGGTTAATATGCTAATTAGACCAGATCAACCAGTTATCTTCCGGTCGTCCGGTCCTCCTTTCAGACAAAGCCACAGTGGCAGGGGGCGAGGCAGAGGCGGTTAGGGGCGATCAGGCCGGCAGGCAGGTGAGCAGTTAGGAGCCAGCGTTCCCGGACTAAGAGAGGGAGTGGGACTAAACCGGCAGTCAGATATCCCCTGAGGGTTCCTGGATTGGAGAGGGTGCAGGCTGGGCTGAGGGACACCCCCCCACACACACACTCACACACACACACATATGAATTTCATGCACCGGGCCTCTAGTCTATAATAATAAAAGTGCAATATGCTAATTAGACCGGACGTCCTTCCGCCTCAGTAGCGGGGGCTGAGCCCCTTGCACGAATTTTGTGCATTGGGCCTCCAGTATTACAATAAAGTTCAAACTGGTTATTAGGGGCCCTCCCTAGATTGAAATCTTGGCTGCACAACTTGTTTGCTAAGTGACCTGGATCGAGTTCCTTAATCTCCTTAAGCCTCCATTTTCTCCTCCATGTAGCAGAGATAATGATAGCTACATCAAAGAGGTGATTTGTGAGGATTAAATGAGATGATGTGAGGCTGGGCTATAGCTCAGTGCATGACACGAAAAAAAATTTCACTTTATGTACGCTTCCACAAGCCCAAATAGGCCATGCTCATTCTCATTACTGGGTTCTAAATAAATACAAATTGGACAAGTGAATTGATTCATCTAAAAATGTGACCAACCGCAAATCAGTAACCTGAACCATCAAAAATTCAGTGTAATGCCCTAGCTGGTCTGGCTCAGTGGATAGAGTGTCAGCCTGTGGACTGAAGGGTCCCAGGTTTGATTCCGGTCAAGGGCACATGCCCGGGTTGCGAGCTCGATCCCCAGTAGTGCAGGAGACATGTGCTTCCTTGGCAGGGAAGAGAAGGGAACTTCCTCTGACCCCTCCCAGAATTTCCCATTTTGTCCAGAAGCTACTCCCCAGGACCTAGTAAGTGCTGGACCCAGTACTGAAACCCAAAGTCCACATAGGCCCTCTAGCCTCCCATGTAGGTTCACTGCCAACTGGCCTCTCTACCAAACATCGAACACCCCTGGGGAGGGAGGAACAGGTTAGGTAATACCAGAGGAAGCAATCTGGCAACTCTTGGATGTGGGTCATTCTACAAGGTAATTAATCTTCAAAAAGCCACTTTCATATCCTGAAATATTTGAGGAGATGATATAATATCTGATACTTGCTTCAAAATAATCAAAGGCAGCCCTAGCTGGTTTGTCTCAGTAGATAGAGCGTCAGCCTGTGGACTGAAAGGTCCCAGGTTTGATTCCAGTCAAGGGCACATGCCCAGGTTGTGGGCTCCATCCCCAGTAGGGGGTGTGCAGGAGGCAGCTGATCAATGATTCTCTCTCACCATTGATGTTTCTATCTCTCTCCCTCTCCTCTCTGAAATCAATATAAATATATTTTTTTTAAAAATAGTCAAAGGTAGGGGCAAGTGGAGAGGGAGGGACATAGGTGAAACAAAATTGGCCATGAGTTGGTAATTGTTGAAGCTGGGTGATATTAATCTCTCCCCCTTTTATTTAATTTAGGTTGTCCATAATAAAAGAGTAAAAATAAAAATTTCAAACCTTGAGCTTCATTTAAGCCTATTTTTAAATGTTGACAGTTATTCCTCCAGACTAGATCAAAATGCACTCTTTTGCCATATCTATAATGAAGAGCCCCTCCAGAGTGTAAGAAAGGTCAGCACACTCTTTTTTTTATCCTAACTTGAGGATATGTTTATTTATTCATCTGTAGAGAGAGGAAGGAAGAGAGAGAGAAAGAGAGAAATCGATGTGAGAGAGAAATATCAATAATCGGCTGCCTCCCATATGCACCCGGCCAGGGTGGTCAGCACACATTGCTAAGCAGAAAGAGCCTAGGTCCTGAGCTGTGGGCTAAATTATTCCTTCTTCATAATAAAGATATATGAATATCCTATATAATAAAAGGCTAATATGCAAATCGACCAAATGGTGGAACAACCAGTCACTATGATGCGCACTGACCACCAGGGGGCAGACACTCACCACAGGAGCTGCCCCCAGCTGGTCAGTGCGTTCCCACAGGGGGAGCACCACTCAGCCAGAAGCTGGGCTCACAGCTGGCGAGTGCAGCGGAGGTGGTGGGAGCCTCTCCCGCCTCCGCTTCATGGGCAGTGCTAAGGACCCCTCAGGGAAGGTGGACATCCCCCAAGGGGTCCTGGACTGTGAGAGGAATGTCGTGCACCGGGCCTCTAATAGGTATATAATAAGATTTCTGAAAGGATACATAAAATACAGTTATGGGCCAGCACCAGTTTGGCTCAGTGGATAGAGCGTCAGCCTGCGGACTGAAGGGTCCCAGGTTCGATTCCGGTCAGGGGCATATACCTTGGTTGCGGGCACATCCCCAGTGGGGGGGGGTGCAGGAGGCAGCTGATCGATGTTTCTTTCTCATCGTTATTTCTAACTCTCTATTCCTCTCCCTTCCTCTCTGTAAAAAATCAATAAAATATATTTTTTTAAAAAATACAGTTATGGGTGTCTGTTTCTTCATTGAGGGACTGGGAAGGTTGGAGTAGGTAGGAGACCTACTTGTTATTGGTTATTGTAAACCTCTTGTTCTTTTATTTATTTTATTATTTCACCAAATGTAAGAATTATGTTTTCAGTTTTGAAAAAACTAGTTTGTTTTTTTAATGTCACAGCACATACCCTCCTACCAAATTCCCTTTCTCTCCTTTTTCTCCGCCCATCCTTACTGTGACCTGCCTCCTTCTCTGCTC